CCACCATGTGGTTGCTGGGAATTGAACTCTGGTCCTCAGGAAGAGCAGTCAGTGCTCTTAACCTCTGAGCCATCTCTCCAGCCCCTGTAAGCAATATTTTCAATTTTTAATTTCATTATTAAATTAAGTAGCATGTGGGAATGGCTTTTCCACATCTTTTTAAAGATTTGCATACCGTGTTATTGAGTACTTCTGTTATTTAAAGCATTTAAAGAAGAGAGTGTAAAACTTACTTGCTAATGAGAAATTTCACACTGGATAATTCAATAATTATGCAAATGAAATTGAAAATAAACAGTAACCATGATTGAAGCATATAGTAGAATAATGGAAACAGAGATTGAATGTGTACGTATGCTGTGTGTTTGTGTAAGCATGCACATGTGTGTGTTTGACATCCATGTGAATATGGAATATCATAAGAAAGTCATAAGACAGTTTATGAGATTTGATTCTCTTTTTCCACCCTTTGATTTTGAGGAATACATCTCACAACTTTGCACCAAGAAATATGTCCATCTAAGTCATCTTGCCAGATCCTAAAATAGTGATTTGTCTGTTGCTACTCAGCATAGATGTTTCATAGGTGCTATCTCAAATATATTTTTGAAAATATTATGACTGTTTGATGAATAAATATGGGAAAATTCCTCAACAACTAAAGCCTACTGTTATTAGTCTTATAGTGAAATTCCAATCCTCCTGTGTAGGACATAATTTATACAGATTGTTGAAGAGTCTTGTGCTTTGTCTTGTTTTCCTGAAATTCTGGGGAAGGTTCTGAGAAGTAAGCCCTAAGAGCTTCCTTCAGTGGAGACTTTCAAGCTTCCTAAATTTTCAGCTTATTCTTATCAAAAGACTTTGCCTAGCCTCAAATCTTTTGGGATTTCAACACAGTGGTGAACTCTGGCAAGTCACGTATAGAGTATTTGCTTCGTATTAAAATGTCTTGTTAAATACTTCAAATTGGTCTTTGGGGACTTTCAAATCAGTCCACTCATATGCTGCCCATTGAAATGCAACTTGACAAAATGTGTGCTATTTAAAAAGCATCAGAACAAAGAGAAGCAAAGCGAAGGGAGTAACAAGGTGGATTCTCTGGGGGGCTGGGAGGATTTAGTTATATTGTAAAGATATTTTGAAAGCTTTTTTGTGCATTTAAATCTTTTCAGATTTGTATAAAACATCAGTTGAGAGGAACTAATCCCTACACTGGGAACATCAAGTGTGTGCCACAGAAAATACTCAGTATAAAACATTGCATGGGAAATGGGTTACATACTTCAGAACACAACATTGCCAGAAATTGTCCCATTCAGAAGAAGTGCTTCTGCAGACAGAAAAACATTTCCATCCACTTTGGCAGGGTTTTCCTAATGAAAAGCCAGTTAGTCAGGGAATGTGATGTAGGTTTAATAAGTATTAATCAAAACAAAATAATTATCAAAGACTATTAGTGTCTGACTTAAACATTCTGGCAGGTTAATGCAATTATAGACCTTATTCTACGTATTTTCATTTGAAAATTTGGAAATTTTCTCCTTTTTACTATGGACACAATTTAACTACAGACTTTGAATGAATGCACTGTACACTTGACTGCGACAGGATGTTCATTGACAGAGAAACATAGAGGGGAAAAAACTTTTCAATATCTTTTCACTTCCACTCATGCTGTGCAGCATGTACATAAAACACGTATAATAAAAACGTACGACCAAACAAATGGTGATTTGCTTCATATAAATTTTAAAGGAAAGTAAGGTTATCCATTAAAATAGTCAAAACTCATCCACTATTTTTTTTCAAGGTTGACAAGTAGAAAACTTGGAATATATGGTTCTCCAAAAAGATCAAGCTTTACCAAATTCAACCATCATATGACAATGTTTTTGTTCACCTCACTCAGCAATGTATCTAGTATCAAATATCACAGGGAACTATTCACTGTTTTTTCCTTGGTTTCTAATTATGGATTTAACTGTCAATATTGGGGACAGTCACCATTTATTCCTTTCCATGTTTCACACTTCTGTAAAGTAGGTGACTAACCAACAGAAATGTTTTGTCTCAGCTGCAGAAAGTGCAAACAGGAGATCCTGTTGCATGGCCATGCTCTCCCTCAATAATCTTTGTGTGTTCATTGTCTCCTTACTTTCTGTTGCTCTACCACTGATTCCTTCACATTTTACTGCTTCCTCACCTACTCATCATTATCAAAACACTTAACCATTTCAACACTGTAAAGTTTTCCCGTTTTAGAAGTTTAAGCCAAACCTACTTTCTATTTCCCGACCTCAGACAGTATGATCCTAATATATTTCTCAACACTTTTATGAGCAGAGTAACACAATGTAAAATTATGCAAGATTTGCTTTTTAAACTTATATCTATTCAAGCCAACACATTTATGACTAGCCAATTCATTTTCTTTTCTTTATTGAGTAACATGCCATAGGATAGTGTACTAAAATTTATTGATTTTTCCAACTAAAAGACATTGGATCTATTTCCAGCATGAGAATATGACAAACTATTGCTCTATAAATATTTATAAAATGTTTTTATTAATGTAATTTTCACTTTGCATAAATGCTTTAGCACAATTTTCTGGGTCAAATACGATTGTGAATTAAATTTAAAAAAAAAGAGCTGCAGTGTCATATTTCTTCACATCAGTGTTGGTATCACCTGTTTCACTGAATCGCTGCCAAGATTTAGTTCCCACACAATCTGCAGTTTAAGATGTAGACATGACGCAGTCCTTATATTCTATATTTATTTCAGATTCTCATTGTGTAAAGCAAATATGCGTATTCAAATTACTTTAGGCTAATGGACACCTACATGCATAGCCTTGCAAATGAAAGCTTTCCAGTGAGCTTTCCGATTCTACTGTGAGTTCTAGGATCTCAGACATGGAGTAAACTTTGCTTAAGGCTGTGTCTGGGGTTCAACATGGAAATAAAAATTTTGAAGTGGACCTATATTAGAACACAAATGCTTGCACATTTTACAGCAAAATTAATATACTGTATATTCAAGACCCAGAATTAATACAATATTCCAAAAAGTCTCTTTTGATTTGTATTTCTGTTTTATACACAGTTTTAAGTACTAGATAATATTTCCTAGTGGTAAATAATTCGTCACAGGATAATTTTGTAATGTTAATTTCATTAATAGAGTAGAGAATTTACCCACTAATCATAAAATTGAACAATCCTTAATAGTTGGCTGTCATATGCTGGGTGTTGTAATTTTAAAATAGTACTGCATGAGAGAAAGACTCCATGTGACAGATTTTGGGTGGAGGGGTTTTTATTGCGGCAAAGTGAATGGGAAAAGGGGGGGAGAAAGGGGACACTGGCCTCTGGGGACAAGAGCAGCAGAAAAGAAGACAGAGGCAGAGAGATGGGGAGGAGGGAGGAAGGGAAAAAGAGAAGGAGGAAGAAAAATGGGAGGTGGGTAGGGTCCTTTTAAAAGGGAACATAGTGAATATGCACAGGTGGTATTCTTCTTGGCTGCAGCTGAGGGAATATCCTGTCAGAACCCCAAAGCCAAACCAGTACAGATGCCTGAATACTAACACTGGGAAATAATTTTAATTTGCTAGAGATAGCTCAGGGACTATGGACGGACAGCTGGAGAACCTGCATGGTACCGAACTAGACTCTCTGAATGTGGGTGACAGTTATGTGACTTGATCCATTTGTGGGGAGTGGTGGGACTGGCAGTGGCAATAGGACCTATCCCAGGGACACGAACTGGCTGGCTTTTTGGAGCCCAGTCACTATGGGGGTTGGATACCTCGCTCAACCTTGATACAGGGGATAGGGGCCTCCCTCAACTAAGTATGCCGGGCTTTGTTGACTCACCAAGGAAGACCTAACCCCCTCTGAATAGTGAATGGGAATGGAAAGGATGGGAGACAGGGTGGGCAGGATAAGGGGAGGGAAGGGAACTAGGTCTGCTATGTGACATGAAAAAAATAACATTTTTAAAAGAAAAATAATTACTGTATAAAGTAGAAATATTTAATGAAACAAGTGATTCACAAAGTATAAGGGTAAAATCAGGTTAATACATTTCTAAATTTAGTACCACAAATATATATGATCATGTTCATTGATTACTTTAAAGTGCTTGCTATTCAAAAACATAGCAGTATTTGTTTTAAATTATATCCACACTGTATATAGGCCACAAAATAAATGAGATTTGAATCAAAGATAACAGTTTGTGAGTCAGTGGTACAGGCAAGGTCTATAAAATAAATAAATAATGCACGATGCAATATAGGTTTAGTGTTTGACTGTCACTGATCATACAATTTGTCCGTCTGCTCCCTTTAATCATATTCTATCCTATGTTTGGTATTAAGACTGTTCTTAATGCATGAACTGTGTGGCCTCATTATACTCTTCATTTAACAAAACACTCAATATTATTTTATTTATGGACACAATAAAAGACCATTCTTGTTGAGTCCATGTCAAGAAGAACTTTTTCAAAGTTGTTGTCATATAAGAATCATAACACAACATCTAGCTTGTTTTTATTGGAACTTATATGTTTCTACAGACAATATGGAGAGATGCAAGCAATATATATGCTATACAAAATTACAGAGTAAGTTCTAGGGGGCTGAACATCTCCCTCAGTTTTCAAGAGCATTGGCTGCTCTTCCAGATGATGTGAGTCAGTTACCAATATCCATATTGGATAGTACAAAGTTACCTGTAACTTAAGTGCTGGGTATCCAGTGCCGTCTTCTGGTTTTGTTGTCACCTGCACTTAAACATGAATATTCCCACATACAGATCCACATACACATAAATACAAATGCATCTCAAAGTAAGTCTTATAAGAATTAAATTTAGGAGGAAATAGTCATTTTTACTACTGTATTGAAATTGAAACCAGCTCTTTTACTGTGTTCAAATGAGTCTTGTGCTAAATGGCATCACACACTAAAATTTGTTTTCCTGAATGCACAGGTACCTCTGTTCTACAGGTGACAGCTACAGATGCAGATGACCCCACCTATGGAAACAGTGCTCGTGTCGTTTACAGTATCCTGCAAGGACAACCTTATTTCTCTGTGGATCCTAAAACAGGTTAGTGAATTTATGCACATTGTTATGCAAATAATTCCATCAATAACACAAATGATGCTCTTTTCTATTTACTCTTCTTCTTAGGATAATGACATTTAAATATCATTTAAAATTGCAGCTATTACCCTAAGCAGTGTAAATACAAAGGTAATTGTTTAATTCTATTACCCATACTTGCTAAAATTACTAAATTGCTATACCACTTAAATAATACTCTTGTGAAAAGAAATATTGAATATTGTATAAATTAAATAATATTATCAGACATTTTTGATTTACATATTTCTTTTAATTTTCTACTAAAGATGGGAAATTATTCAATAGAATTCTAGTTCTTTATATGCATTTGTTCACAAAGTATATTCTCTGGTACTCATACATGAAGGTATGCATATATATATATATGTATGCACATACTAAATATGAATACATGAAATACAGTACATTGAGGTACATCAAATTTTTCATCTTGGATTTTTTTTCAGAACTTGGCATTCTTTCAGGACTTTAATATTGCATTACTTAATGAAAAAAAGATAAACCTATGAATTCTTTTTCTTTCTTCATTCTGGTAAATACTGGTATTTTATCCCCAAATTTGAATGAACAGTACACAGTAGTCTTCTGTTTCATCATCCTATGTCAAAAGATATAAAAAGCAAATATCCTGACTAAATGATTTCTTCCCAGTGAAACAAGGAAACTAGTCCCTGTTTCCAACATACACAAGCATTTAATATACAACTTTTGGATTTTCCTAAATTTTGAAGAATATTAAAATGAATTGTAAAAGAAAGTAGAGGTTCAGGAGGTTCTAGCAGGACTCTGGGATCTTTTTGGTAAACCTGGAGGCACTGTGACTCAGTCAGCATGGAACCTTCATGGAACCGCTGTGACTCAGTTAACATGGAACGTTTACACACAGACTCTGACTCAGTTAACCTAGAACCTTTATGGAAAATGAACAGTCCTGTAGCTATGGCCAAAGAAAATGTATCTGTACTTAGATGTCTCCTTTAACATATTACATGGACCATAAGCAATCGAGTTATCTATGCATTAAACATATTTCAAAGTAAAATAGAATTAAATCATTTACCCCTCCCTTTCCTCCTTCTAGATACTTCCAGGTACCATCTAGCAACCCTCCCCAATCTCAAATTGATAGCCTTTCTTTACATTATTATTGTTGCAGTATATGTATATATATATGTATATATTATGCACAAATATCTAAATACAATTTGCTGAGTTCATTGCATGCTTTCTCTTTGTTTCTCTCTCTCTCTCTCTCTCGTGTTGTGTGTGTGTGTGTGTGTGTATGTGTGTGTGTGTGTGTGTGTATTTCTGTATGCTTTTGCATCTGACAAGTTTGTATTGGTTAACTACTTAAGGGGACTCATGCCGGAGAGAGGCTAGTTCTCCCTCTCAGGAGTCATTACTTGCCAATAAATTTTGTCCAAGGGTAGGAACTTGTGAAATTTTCCTGTTCCTCATTAACAAATTTATTGTTTATGCAGTCATTTCTGAGATAGACTTTTATAGCAGACTTCATGATATTTTGTGTCTTACAGTTTTTGCCCCTATACTGTGATGTTCCCTGAGCGATTGACACAGGAGCTGTGATTTTAGATGTGTCTGTTGGGGCTGGGTTCCTCAAGGTCCTGTGATATGTGTACTGTGCCCTTGTGGTGACTATGATTGTCTACATTTGCTGTAAAGAGAAACTACTTTGGATGGTGTTGGGGTGGGCTTCACTTTTCTGTGTCTAGAATAATAAAAGTAAGGCTGTCATATGGAGCTGTGCTGTCTAGCAAACTTGTGGTAGCAGATTTGTTCTAGTCTATGACCTTACTAGCCTTGGGAAATGTCTTTGTTTCTAGCACTAGATATGATTTCCTTCCTGTTGACTGAACTTTAGTCCAATTAGACTTCTATTAGTTACCAACAACAAGGGAGTATCACTTACTGTAGAGGTCTAGATAACTTTCCATGCTGGTCATTGTTGTGGTTCATAACTTTTCCAGCTGGGTAGAATAGTTTTCGACAGTTTGCATGTTTTCTGCTAACTTGGAAGATACACTGCAGAAAGAGTTTTTCAGGTCAGATGCAGCTGGATTCATCAGGCAACTGTGTCCTGAGTATGTAGTGTGTTCAGGAATAGGGGCTTATCTTCAACCTCCAAGAGACAAGCAGGCACAACATCAATAGTCTATTGTTTAGTCAGTCTCTTGGACTATCCCCAACTATCCATTACAAAGGATGTTTCTCATGGCTGGAGCCAGGGGTATTATTGGATATAGGAATTCTGCATCAGCAATATGGTTTCAAATCAAGTCTGTTTCGAAACTTCTTATATAATGAAGTACACACCAGTAAGAAGATTCAGGTTTTCAGCACACTTTCAGCACCTAATGTGAGTAGATTATTGTTAGTGGTGAGTTTTGTCATATTATAAGAAGATTTGACAACATAACCCACCTTCCTTTCACTAAACGGTTCCAGCATTCAAGTTCACTGCCAGGAACAGACCTAAAGTATTCTGTATCTCTTCGTACTTCCCCAGATGAAACAATGTGGAACTGATGTGCAAAGAGAGTTATAAGTGGAGAATAAAGTCACACAAAAAATTACGTAGTGACATCTTTTTACACATTAATTATAGTATAGGTTTAAGTATTTCCTTGGTGAAGTAAAAATGAATATTACAAAACAAACACTTTTGATGTGTAAACATTATTATGAAAGATTAAAGTTATTTTAGTGTCAAGATATTTAAGTAGGGAAACCCTTATGAACCTGGGAACCAAATGCCCATGTATGGCTATCTACATTATTGTTCAAATGAAATTTGGTTGAAAATCAGTATTTGATATATGTGGTACTCTTTTTGTTATTGCCTCTAAATCAAGTTTGTGTTAAATATAATAGAAGTAGATTTCTACTTTACACATGTGTGTTTATGAAATAAATAAGCAGATAAAATGTAGCATTGCTATGTTTGGTATTTCCACACATATACCTGTGTATAAACATACATGTACCTGAATAAATCTTTAGTCTATTAGTCATATATATATATACATATATATTAGTCAAATGTTTTTGTATAAGAATACATCATATTTACCAGTAAGGCAACATGTGTGAAATATATTTTAAACTTTAGTACTCTAATGATTCCTAGTATTCGTTAACAGATATTAGTTTTCTATGTGTAGAAAAGTTGCGTATGTTTAAGAGTATAAATACAAATGGATATGGGTAGGAACTTGTGAGGGTGAAGCAGGCTTTTGAGGATTATTATCTGCCATTTTAGTTTGTGTTTTGAAGCAGTTCTTATCAGCCTGCTATTGCTGACACACCATCTAAATTCGATTAGCATTTGGGTATTGTTATGTATCCTATATGTAACTCAAGTAATGGTTAACACAGAATTTTTTCTCAACATAAAGAAATTAATAAATATAAGTGGCTTACAATAGTTTATGAGTATATTTATAAAAAGTTATAAATTACCTCACACAGATTCTAATGCACAAAATTCTCTTAGCTCCTTTTTATTCTCCTCAAAAGGTATAGTGTATTTAATGAAATGTGTGCTTCCATGGGAGTCTGTGTTAATATCAGTATTTCACTTGCTAAAGCATCATGGGACCTGTGAGTCTATTTCCCACTTATCATGCCAGTAATGAAAGAAAATAGTTTTAAATTTAAATTAAGTCAGTAAATGTGTTAAACAGTTATTGCAGAAAGTGCTAAGAAGAGTTCTAAGATAAATACTCATTATTTTCTTCAAAGCTTCCATATTTTGGCTACTTGTCTTTAAAAATCTGATGGCCCTGTAATTGAACATGCTTAAAACTAATGAATCTAGTTGCAACAGTGCTTCCAAATACCTGGAATATAATCCAAACAGACACAGTTAAAAATTAGCGAATCACTTGCTACAATGGGGTATTATATAAGAAGCTTGGGGATACTAGTCGTTTACAAAGGTGTATTTTAATAGTATAACTTAATTCCATTCTCCTAATTGAATATAGTTCCAATTACTTTTATTGAAGAACAATTATAATAATGTATAACTTAACTTTTTTCCCCTAATAATATTCAGATTTCAGTGCTTATCATCAAAAATTAGTACATGTATTTCCTTATTTTCATTATGTTAAAGGGTATATTTTGGTATTCACCTTGATTTTATAATAATGAGTTCCCTAAGAGGCAGTGGTTTTCTGTTGTGTAAACCATGTGCTAATACTTGTATCCAAAGATACGAATGATGAGATTGTTGGTTCATCATATGCATACATAGCATTTAATAACGTGGATTTTTAAACTGAAATTCCATTCATTAGATCTATGAAACAATACTCTTAGGAAAAATTTATAAACCTTTGTTATAGGCAAGTCGATGCTCCTCATTATATAAGACAACTAAAGAGCACCAACTAAAATATTTTAAACATTAACACTTCAAAAGTAGAAAAATACATGGCAGCAAAATATCAAAAGTATGCTATTTATGACAGGCTATGAATGGAACATTGGTACAGAATAATCAAATAATATGTTGTGATTATTGAAAGCAGGTACACTTGAGCAAGGTATTTGAGGAAAGCTGCTGCGATTGGCACATCCTACTAAAGAGGATCTGTAGGGGTCTATGTCTTTAGCACAACACACATCTCAATCCAATGTTGTAATTTTATTGTCAAATCCTTGAAAGTAAACCATTATGTTGAAGACTTCTGTGCTTCAATGAGGTGGTGACAGCAGTTGCTGAATAATCCTTTGACTTCATATAGAATCTAGTTTCATTATCTAGGTCAATGAAGCAGAAATCAAGGAGATGACTTTCCATGTGTTTTAGGAGTAAAAATTACATATAATGCAATTGTGCAATGGAAGGTTGGTGGGAGAGAGGGGAGGAGGGGAGGGAGAGTGACCTGGGATTGACATATCAAGCAAGCTTGTTTCTATTTTAAATAAATAAA